TTTTCCTTTAGATTTGGCCTAAGAGAAGAATTTTTTTTTTCAATTTCCCTTTTGGCTTTTAGCTCTTCCTGTGATTCTTGTCTCCCGTAAGATTCCTTCAGCTTAAATTTGATATTTGCAATTTCTCTGACCAGTGCCTCCCTTCGTATTTTAGATATACTGGCCCCTCTCAGAAGCTCTGTGACTCTTCACCTTCATCTGCATAGGGAGTCTCTCTCTATTGTTTGCATCTTCTCTTTCTTTTTCTTAATGGAATGTGCCTTGAACAGATCTCAAGAATCACAGAGTACATTTTTTCTAGGCAAAGGTTCAGATCCATGTTGTTTAGGATACCTTCCCAGCTTGTTTCGTTTAGGACATGGTTGACTTGTTCCCATTGTATGTTTTTGTTATTGAAGTTGAATTTTGTGAAGACATCCTCGTGACTGATCACATTTTGCTGGTCAGGAGCCCTGTGCATACATATCTGTACCTCTATTATGTTGTGATCTAGTGTATTGTCTTTGATACAGTTGTATTATGTGTCAGATCATCGTTGTTAGTGAAGTTGAGGTCCAGCATATTTTCTAGTCTTTTAGGCTCTAGTATATACTGGTTTAAGGTATATACTTTAAGGTATATACCCAGGAGGCAGCTGCCTCCTGGGGTGATCTCTGCTAAAATATTATTTGCTACACTCCTCCATTTTAGGTGTCTCAAGTTGAAATCTCCCAGTAGTAAGATGTTTGGGACAGGAGTTGGGAGATTTTACGGACAGTCATCAATTTTCAAAAGCTGCTACCGGAATTGCTGGGAAGTTGCATCTGGAGGCTTGTATACAACCACAATGTCAAAGTTTTGGTTTTCAATCTTTACTGCCAAAACTTCCAACTTCACTGTTGAAGTTTGTCATTTTCCTGGCTAGTAAAAAATCGTGGAACGGTTGAGGTACTTCAAGCCAGGGCAAGTGAATGAAGAATAGATTTTATTTCTTTGTAAACGTTACAGTGTGTAATTATAATTTTGGTTTGTTAAGTGCAGAGAAAGCCACTATCATGCTAAGGCATATCGGACAGACTAATCTTAGTACATAATAACTACTTAAATCTGGACAAGATAAGAGTGGTTAACTTTTTAATAAATCTTTATTTAACCCGTAAACGGTCCAAACATATACATGTATATACGTTTTTACCGCTAGTGCCCCAAATGTATATATACGTTTTATTTTTCCTGCCTTCAAATTTCGCACGATTGGCCTGAGATGCCTTGTCAGCATAGAATGGGTCCTAACACTCAGTGTGTGCAGTATTAAAAAAACCTGGGACCACTTAGTACCAGTAAAAGTAGGCCTTAGACAAGGATGTGTGATGTCACCGTGGTTGTTTAATATATTTATAGATGGGGTTGTAAGAGAAGTAAATGTGAGGGGTCTTGTCAAGAGGCGTGGAGTTAAAAGATAAAGAATCACACATAAAGTGGGAGTTGTCACAGTTGCTCTTTGCTGATGACACTGTGCTCTTGGGAGATTCTGAAGAGAAGTTGCAGAGGTTGGTGGATGAATTTGGTAGGGTATGCAAAAGAAGAAAATTAAAAGTGAATACAAGAAAGAGTAAGGTTATGAGGATAACAAAAAGATTAGGTGATGAAAGATTGGATATCAGATTGGAGGGACAGAGTATGGAGGAGGTGAATGTATTCAGATATTTGGGAGTGGACGTGTCAGCGGATGGGTCTATGAAAGATGAGGTGAATCATAGAATTGATGAGGGGAAAAGGGTGAGCGGTGCACTTAGGAGTCTGTGGAGACAAAGAACTTTGTCCTTGGAGGCAAAGAGGGGAGTGTATGAGAGTATAGTTTTACCAACGCTCTTATATGGGTGTGAAGCATGGGTGATGAATGTTGCAGTGAGCAGGCTGGAGGCAGTGGAGATGTCATGTCTGAGGGCAATGTGTGGTGTGAATATAATGCAGAGAATTCGTAGTTTGAAAGTTTGGAGGAGGTGCAGGACTACCAAAACTGTTGTCCAGAGGGCTGAGGAAGGGTTGTTGAAGTGGTTCGGACATGTAGAGAGAATGGAGCAAAACAGAATGACTTCAAGAGTGTATCAGTCTGTAGTGGAAGGAAGGCGGGGTAGGGGTCGGCCTAGGAAAGGTTGGAGGGAGGGGGTAAAGGAGGTTTTGTGTGCGAGGGGCTTGGACTTCCAGCAGGCATGTGTGAGCGTGTTTGATAGGAGTGAATGGAGACAAATGGTTTTTAATACTTGATGTGCTGTTGGAGTGTGAGCAAGGTAACATTTATGAAGGGGTTCAGGGAAACCGGCAGACTGGACTTGAGTCCTGGAGATGGGAAGTACGGTGCCTGCACTCTGAAGGAGGGGTGTTAATGTTGCAGTTTAAAAACTGTAGTGTAAAGCACCCTTCTGGCAAGACAGTGATGGAGTGAATGATGGTGAAAGTTTTAATTTTTTTTTTTTGGCCACCCTGCCTTGGTGGGAATCGGCCAGTGTGTTAATAATAATACGTCAAAAACACTGGCTTATGAGTCGTATATATACGACTGAAACAGTCTAAGTGTTAAGCATACTATTTGTAAACTAGGGGCTGTTTAGTCTCTTTTTTGAGATTTGCTTTGGTTTCATTGGACAATGTTTATTGTAGAGGTTATGGGTTTTGTATAGGAATATGTTGACACATTCATCAGTATTGTGGCAGTCAACTAACTCGCCCAGCTAGTCAGTGTTATGTAGGGCAGTAATATATGTTCACGAATGTGCTGATATTATTTATACAATTATTACAATATTGCATAAAAGTAATTCTTCTATTTTTTGGTGTAAATAAAAATTCTTTATGTGAATAAAGAGTCAAAATAGAATTAATCTGTAAAGACTGGAAACATAACTAATTAAAAGAGGAAATGTTGTTTTAGTGCCAGGAATGTCTGCATTGTTTATTCTGGACCCTATTTTCACATTAGAATATTTTGAATTTTGTGTTAAATTGGCCAAATAACCAATTTCTGATCACTTTATTGGGTAGTTGAAATGGTTAATTGGGCAGTGTCTTGTGCTCAGTCGATAAAATAGTGAAATTGCTAAGAATTTGGCTTACCAGAATAATGTAATTGGCCTAAAATAGGAGTCAAAGTGGGCAAAATCGCTGAAGTGTAAATATCGCTGACGCAGTAAAAGTCACAGTAGTGTAATTTTGTCAGTTTTCCATCAAATTTTGTACTTTTTGTTTTATTAACTTCAGGAAAAGATTCTCTACCATTTCATAAGAAAAAATAATTTTTTTTTTTTTTTTTTAAATTCTGGGACCCCTGTGGGCAAGACGGGTTAAAGGGTTAAGGGTTAAGGGTTAAGGACGGTGTTCTGTTCCCAAGACCACATCAGTAAATGAATTTATCACTAAGTGAGGAGCATACTATAATGGTAGTGGGTTTGTGTCAACTGACGTTGATATTGTTTTAGTGTCACCTTTGCACCACTATAACATTTTTAGTATACAGTGGTACCTTGAGATACAAGCAGCTCCCAACTCGAACAATTATGTAAGTGTATTTTCGTAAGTGCTTTTGTAAGTGTATTTTTTTGGGGTCTAAAACAGATTAATCTAATTTTCATCATTCCTTCTGGTAACATATTCGTTCAGTATCGGCACTCAAACAGCATTCTGGAATGAATTAAGCTCGTAACTCAAGGTACCACTGTATTATTGAATGTTTATACAGTAGTGTACTGTATGTTGAAATAAACAGAATAGAGGAAATCAGCTGTAATATACATTTTTTAGGTATAAACACTAGTCAAAGAGCCCGTCATAAGCCCGATGCGTTGGTAAACGAGTACGTCACTAAGTGAGGAGAGGCTGTGATTGAAAGAATGTGCTACACCTGTAGGGGAATGGGAGGCACTGAAATTCACTTCCAATATAAGTCCAGACCCTTGGATCAAGAACCCTCCATCACGTCTCTTTATATTACCCAAAAACATGATGGGGTGATGAAAACGTCCAAAATTGTTTGATAAACACACTGAGTCACTCATTACTTCCTGACAACAACTGTAGTTACTGTACCTTTTACTCTACCTGTGAAAGGTTTTGAGAGTTTTGCTACTCCCTTACCCAGGTTCTGGCCTTGCTTATCTGCTGCTTGCCTGATTAACCAGTCTGTTGCTGTTGGCAGGCCCCTGGCACATATATCAATCGCAGCCTGGTTGATCTGGCATCTGGTAGAGGTACTTGTCCAGTTTCCTTCTGAAGTCTCTACACTTGTCTTCGCAGTGTTTCCGATATCTTCTGATAGAATGTTAAGTTATTTGCACAACAGGAGGATAACACGGGGTGATATTAGGACTTCCCAGGAACATTGAACCTACTAGTAGGCCTAGCAGTAATCCTTGGCATCACATAGAGAACAAACATGTTGTTTTGAAACCAGACTAAATGGTCTGTGATTCTTGGAACCATTTAGAGAACTAACATATTACAGTGGTACCTTGGGATATGAATTTATTTTGTTCCAGAAGGCTGTTCGAGTGCCGATACTGAATGAATTTGTTCCCGTAAGGAATAATGTAAATTAGGTTAATCCTTTTCAGACCCCCAAAAATACACATACAAAAGCACTTACATAAATACACTTACATAATTGTTCGAGTTGTGAGCTGTTCGTATCCCGTGGTACCACTGTACATTAAAACCAAACTGTACAGTCCTTGAATAATATTTATTTCTCAAACATAGGATATGTTCTTTACTAATATCAGTCTATTGAATGAGTGATGGTAAATGTCCTTCCCTCATTGGGTCATCCTTCCTTGCTGGAAAATGGCCAACGTGGCGTAAAAAAAAAAAGGCATTTCTTCAATAATATTAAATTTCCATTTTCTAATAAGCAATACAGATGAACAGTACCTCAAAACTGGTCTTAAAATTTCTGTGACCCTTATGGGTTAAGTGCTTAGTTTTGATTGCAATAATTAAAATTTCTAATATAGAAATTTAATTTTCAGTTCATTCGTGAGGAGAACGAACGATGCCTCAAAGAAGCACTAATGTTATCCAAACTCGATTTCGAAGAGAAGAAAAAGTTTTACCAACAGATGAAGAAAGAGCAGGCAGAGGAGGGCAAGGGAGGAAAGGTTAAAAAGAAGAAAGATAAGCCATTAACAATGTCCTTAGATCAGTTCAACAATCTCCGCCCAGACCAGGTACACCTCTCACTCAACCTTTGTTATTGTCTTCTTTAATATCAACAATATCTGCCCAGACCAGGTACACCTCTCACTCAACCTTTGTTATTGTCTTCTTTAATATCAACAATATCTGTCCAGACCAGGTACACCTCTTACGCAACCTTTGTTACTGTCTTCTTTAATATCAACAATATCTGTCCAGACCAGGTACACCTCTCACTCAACCTTTGTTATTGTCTTCTTTATTGTTGGTCCCGTAGTACTACACTTTGAGCTTAGCTCACTCAGAAAGTTGTGAGCACCATGTGGGGAATTTTCATGTGATTATACATGACTAAAAGGGGTTACTTATCTGAATGGTCGACAGCACAGATTTCCAGCAGCTGCATCCTGTAAATCTCCTTCTAATGTCAGCTGTTTGTTTCCCATAGGGGCTGTTGATGATGAGTAACTGGGGTTAAATCTTCACCCTGGAATATTGTGGGTTACTCGTACCTGTTGTTGGGTTTTCACCTGTGCTTGACCTAGATGAGGTCAGCTCTAATCAGCTTGTGCTGGCCTATGCACTGTAGCACATATGGGTGGATACAAGTGAGTATAGGACCTACCTTACTCATATAATGAACTTGCGGTGTTGATTGCACTTAGAACATTATTGGTATCTTGATCAAGGTGAAGATGGATGGCTTGAGTCATTCAGGAATGTTTCTTGTGCTCACATCACTCCAGTACACTTCACTGTCTCTTCACTTCACACGTTCATGAGTTCATCTTGTTAATTATATTCGTGGAAACTGTCCACAGTAGGGAGAGAGTTAATAACGCTATCTTTACTTCAGTTCTCCCTGTTATTCAAGAGAACGACACGGAAAATGTGTATTGGCACTAGATACACTTGTGTTTGTAGCTCTTGTTCTTGGAAATTGTCATTATAAGAATTCATGAACGCAGGATAACCCGAGATGCGACCAACACTGTCTCTTTGTTTCATATTATTATAGTCTGCAGGCCTGGTACATGTTCACTGGTTGAAGACTTATTGCAATCTGAAGCCCCAGTTCTGCATGCCCCTCCACCAAGAAGAATTTTGCTGACACGGTGTAGACTTGTCCGTGCCAGTTTTGCAACAGGATAGAACTTAGGATTACTGTTTCCCTTGATTGTGGTTGCATGCTGTAGGAAAACATTCCCCCAACTTCATCATCAAGTTGGGTGCAATTTATTTTGGATTTTTAATGGTCTGGGGAACCAGCACTTCTCCGAGACTTCCACTTGTATGCACAAGCGAGCAGATATTCTCATTATGAGAGGCATGTCTTATGACATCTTATGCTCTAACACATTTCTAATTAAATACATGTATGCTGAACTGTTTCATATGGGGATGTGAGAACAAGGAAGGTAGATTGTTCTCATTCCCCCTTTGAGAGGACTACCCTCTTTTGAGAAGGGGATAATGCCTCATTCATAAACTGGAAAATTTTCTCCACACACCATGTAAAAAAAATTCTTTGACCATGTTTTTGGTTTAAAACAACAACTTTGTGGTGTATTTTTGTGTGGTTTTTATGGTTATATTCTTAGTTTCTTGGTCTCTTTTGATAGAATGGAAGATATTTTACAGATATAGAGATTGGTTTCTGGACTGAAAGTAGCTTGAAATTGGCTCAAAGTAGCAGAAATGTTCGATTTTTACTGATATTCCAGAGTGCACAAATGACGTCAGTTGTCTAATACATGTCTAATTGGCCAGTCTAATATGCATTTAGGAATGCACTGACATTATTTATACAGTTATCACAATAAAACAGTAGTCTGCGTAACAGTAAATCTTCTATTTTTTGTGTGAATAAAGATTCAAAATGGAAATCAAGCATAATATAAGAGGAGCCTAAGATGTGACTAATGAACAGAGAAAATGGTTTTAGTGCCAGGAATGTCTACATTGTTTTTTGGATCTTATTTTTAAATTGGCAATTTTTGAATTGTGTGTGAAATTGGCCAAATTTCCTGATGACTTTATTGGCTAATTCAAAAGGTAAATGAGTAGTTTTTTGTACTCAGTCAATAGAAAAGAAGGAATACTAGTAAAATAGCTATGAGTTTGGTAGACTGGGACAATGTGGGGTGCAAAGTGGGCGAAATTTCTGATGTGTAACTATCACCGTAACCGCTAACTTTGCTAGAGCATAATTCTGTAAGTTTCCATCAAATTGTGTACTTTTGGTTTCATTTACCTTTAGAAAAAGATTCTCTGTCATTTCACAATTTTTTTTTTTTTTAATTTGACCCTGAGTGCAAGTTTGAGATCAGGGGTCTCGACCCTGAAAAGGTTAACCCTTTGAGGGTCCAGACCCCTGGTCTGAAACTTGTCCACAGGGTCCAAAAACTCTCCCCCATCCCCCTCAATATTAACCCTTAAACGGTCCAAACATATATATACGTTCACTCGCGCAGCGCCCCGAATATTTTGAAAAAAAAAAATTTTTTTTTATAGAAAAAAAAGAGCACATTTTTTTAAGTGTTTTTAGCATAAAAAAAAATTTAGGGTCAGTACTTACTGAGGTATGAGGCCGCGAAGTTGGCACTTGGCGATCACCTGACGGCAACATGGAGCACTGCTGCTTGCAGAAATTCAACATATTTACTGTTTTCTTCTATTTTTTTTTCATTTTCTTGGTTTTCATGATATGATAATTATGTTTCATAGTAAGTCATTTGATATCAATGCCAATTTTTGTTTATACACCAATATTACATACAAAATTTTTATCATATTGTCATAAACACACATGTACACACTGACAGGTGATTTTGCACACCTGGCTGAATCACACATTATTATCTACAACTATATACAAGTATTTACATGTCCCACTTATGTTTCTAGAACTCCACAATTGTATGATACTCCATGAAGCATGGATTCATACAGAGTGCCACCCCACACTGGTGACACATGAATCGTGTGTCCTTCCGCTGTTGGGGTCGTTTTTTGGTGGTAGCACACACAATACACTTTTTCTGGGCATTCTTCTTCTTTTGGGTAGGTGGTATTGGTACCAGATAGTGACAGTTAGGAGTGATTCGGTCTGGCACTTCCCCCACTGGCTGTGGTTGGGGGACAGGTTGTGGTGTGACAGGTCGCTGTTGAGGGGAAGGTACAGGTGTGGTACCATACTTTCTTGCTATCTGTTTGACGAGATTCAGAGAAATCTGCAAAACGTTGTCGTTTTCCAGTCTTTACTTCGTACATATTGAATGCATTGAGCACTGCAATGTCTACAAGGTGAAAAAACAGTTTTATATACCACTTGCGACTCCTACGCACACAAGCCCTATCATCATGTCACACTTGTCAACTAGTCGCATGTGGTTCGTATAGTCCACGACAGCAAGTGGCTTCACAATAGGTTCGTTGTTGAACTTGCTCAGTCTGTCTGTTTGTACCATCTCGTTTCTGTGGATGGTTGATAGCAATGTCACGTCTCGTTTGTCATGCCACGTCAGTGCCATGATGTCATTAGCATGAAACGCTTGCACTTCACCTTCAACACTGCCTCCAGTGAACCTTGGCATATGTTTCCTATTCCTTCTCACTGTTCCACTTATATCAGTATTGTTCACACGTAGGAAATCAGCAAGCATAGGGCTTGTATACCAGTTGTCTGTGTACAATGTATGGCCCTTGCCAAGGTATGGTTCCATCATCCTGCGAACAACATCACCGGAAATGCCCAACATCCTTCTGTCATCATCGAGTGTGTTTTTCCCTGTGTATACAATTACATCCAACACAAGACCACTCTCACAGTCACACATAACAAAAAGTTTTATACCAAAGCGATTATGTTTCCTTGGTATATATTGCTTGAATGACAGGCGTCCCTTGAACAGAATCAAGGACTCATCAACAACAATGTTCTTGAAGGGATAAAAGTATACACTGAATTTCTGCTTCAAATACATAAACACTTCCCGGATTTTGTATAGAAGGTCATTTCTGTCTGGCGTATTTCTGTCTGCGAAGTGCAACATTCGTAGCAACTGAGTGAATCTGTTGCAGGGAAGGAGGTCATGGAAAACTGGAGTACTGATGAAGTGGTCTGTAGACCAGCAATTACGTATATTGTTCTTATAGATATGTGGCATAAGCATGACAGTGGCAAGGAATAAATACATTTCAGCCACTGTTGTGTCTTTCCACCTGTGCAGCCGTGATGATTCTCCAACCTCTGTTGTGTTGTTCATGACATATTGGTAATAAATGTTTGTCTGAGTCACTATCAAGTTCATTATAGGCTCATCAAAGTGCAACTGGAAATAGTCTAACTCTGTAGACTCATTTGTTATGGGACATTCTGGCTGGATACCACTTCCACTAGCATCAAAATCACAAGGCTGTGGCACGAATATACTTTGTGTCCAGTTCCACTCACGATCACATGGTGCAGGGTGGACCTGTGGCATGGGGCGAGGGGGGGCAGGAGGAGGAGGGAGAGGAGTGGAGGCAGCACATGGTTGAGGGGGTGCCGGGCGGTCCTTTGTCTGTCCACCCACTGCGCCATGTGGTCCAGGCACCATGCCACCCACCACTACTTCCTCCATCCCCGCATACTCCCCTTCGTGATCACTTTCACTATCAGTGGCCGGGGTTTTGGATCGTGACCTGCCACGACCCTTGGGGATTGCATATGGCACACTGCCTGAACGTAGATAACGACGCCTAAAAGTACGTTTCACTGGTGAATAATGAACGTCACTATCACTAGACGAATCCTCAATTGGCATAAAATCAATCTCATCATCACTTACATCACTTTCACTATCACTACTAAAACACCGGGAAAATGATAGTTTCCTTTTGCGAAGTTGCCTATGGGTAACACTTGCCACTCCAGAGGTGCTTGGCCCAGGGTCTTCTGTGGCCACACTGGCCACCCCAGAAGTGCTTGGCCTAGGGTCTGATGTGGCCACACTGGCTACCCCAGAGGTGACTCAAGAAATCGTAATGA